AGGCCTGGAAATAATCCATATTCCAATACTTTCAATCCGGGATGGCGAGATCACCCGAATTTCTCGTGGAGGCAACAAGCCCCACAGAATTCGCAATTCCAAAATCTGGGGCGTCAAAATCAACCCTCTTCTCAATTTCAAGGTAGGCAATTTCAGGCTTCTTCAAGCTACCGTCCTCCTTACAATCTAAATGTCTCCACTCAACCTCCCGTGTATCCACTAATGAGATAGTGGCTGCAAACAAGCAAATGATGGAATCATTGAATAAGCAAATTATCAATTCCAACAAGCAACTTTTGACATCTTTGCAGCCTACTCTCCAAATAGTTCATTCTCATACTCAGTCCATAGCTAACCTTGAGAATCAAGTGGGTCAAATAGCAAACTCTATGAACCAATTGCTTTAAAAGGACAAGGGTAACCTTCCCGCTCAGCCAGTTAAAAATCCTACAAGGATGCATGTGATTGATGAAACCCCTCCTCCGAGTGGGCTGAGTTGTGAACATGTTCAAGCAACCACCACTCTTAGGAGTGGTCGATTTGTTGACAATAAGTTTGATGGAAACAAGGATGAAAAAGATTCTCCTTCAGAAAATCCAAATCCGAGCTCTTCCAATCCAAAATTCACTCCTAAAAATCCAAATTCTAATCATGAAAATCCCAAGCTTGTCACCCCAAATATGGAAACTTCTTATGAGCCCAAGGCTCCGTTTACTCAACGTCTCCAAGAGTCAACACATCTTGGGAGCAAGAATTGCAAAATTTAAGACATGTGGGAAGTTTTCAAGCAAGTGAAGATCAACTTGCCTCTATTGGATGCTATAAACCAAATCCTTCCCTATGCAAAATTTCTTAAGGATTTGTGCACTCAAAAGCGCACTTCCCAGAATCATTTGCCAAAGAAAGTAAGGTTAACTAAAAATGTGAGCGCAATCATTCAACACAGTGCTCCTCCAAAGTATAAGGATCCGGGCGCTCCAACTATCTCGTGTGTCATTGGCGACAACAAGATAGAACGGGCCCTCCTTGACTTATGAGCTAGTGTAAATTTGATTCCATATTCAGTTTACTTGCAACTTGGGCTGGGAGATCTAAAGCCAACTTCCGTGGTCTTGCAGCTTGCCGATAGATCGGTCAAGCACCCACAAGGCATTCTTGAGGATGTCATTATCAAAGTGGACAAATTCTACTTCCGGGTAGACTTTGTGGTTCTTGACACGGAACCGGTCCATGAGCCAAAGAAGCATATTCCTGTGATCCTCGGTCGGCCATTTTTAGCTAAGGCTAATGCTTCAATCAATTGCCGAACCGGGGTGATGGACATTGCCTTTGGCAACATGCAAGTCAAACTTCACATCTTCCATGCAACTCAACATCCTTCCGATGAAGATGATTGTTTCTTGATAGATGTGATAGATGAAGTGGTCGAGGACTCTCTCCCCTTTGTTCTAAGCAAAGATCCGTTGGAAACTTGTATGTCTCATTTCGACTTCTCAAACTTTGGCATTGACCAATCCATCCAAGAAGTGAACTCCTTGCTTGACATTAATGCTATCATGGATATTCTCCCTTGGAAAATTCCAAAAGAGCTGCTTCCTTAGCTCTCCACTACTCCTCTGGTTCCATCTTTGAAATCTCCACCACAACTTGAGCTTAACCACTCCCGGCACATCTCAAGTATGTATTCCTTGGTTTAAATCAAACTCTCCCGGTCATCATTGCATCGGACCTTCTAAAGGACCAAGAAACCAACCTTTTAGCAGTGCTACAAGAGCACAAAGAAGCTATTGGGTGGGCAGTGGCAGACTTAAAAGGAATTGATCCCTCCATTTGTATGCATTGCATTCATATGGAGGAGGACACGAAGCCTTCTAGAGAGGTCTAGCATCGGTTGAATCCTAATATGAAGGAAGTGGTCATGAAAGAGGTGATCAAATTGCTAGATGTGGGAATTATCTATCCCATCTCCGATAGCAAGTGGGTGAGTCCCACACAAGTTGGTCCAAAAAAATCTAGACTCACGGTTGTTAAAAATTCAACGGGTGAGCTCGTGCCACAACGAACCACCACCGGGTGGCGTGTGTGCATAGACTACCGGAAACTCAACTCATCAACTAGGAAGGATCATTTTCCACTCCCATTTATTGATCAAATCCTAGAAAGGCTAGCCGGCCAAAGCTATTATTGTTTTCTTGACGGTTATTCCGGCTATAACCAAGTGGCGGTCGCCCCCCAAGATCAAGCGAAAACAACTTTCACATGTCCCTTTGGAACTTTTGCCTATCGACGCATGCCTTTTCGGCTATGTAATGCACCGGCAACATTTCAAAGATGCATGATGTCCATATTTTCAGATATGGTGGAAAATTTCTTGGAAGTTTTCATTCACGATTTTTCCGTCTTTGGCACCTCCTTTGATTCATGTCTCCACAATCTATCTCTTGCGCTCCAAAGGTGCAAGGAGACGAATCTAATTCTAAGTTGGGAGAAAAGCCACTTCATGGTCCAAGAAGGCATTATTCTAGGACATGTCATTTCAAAACGGGGAATTGAGGTGGACAAGGCAAAAGTTGAGTTAATCTCTAATCTACCTCCTCTGAATTCCGTCTGTCAAATCTGTTCCTTTCTTGGCCATACCGGATTTTATCGTCGTTTCATCAAAGACTTTAGCAAAATCTCGCGGCCCTTGTGTAATCTCTTAGCCAAGGATGTTCCATTCAACTTTGATGGAGCTTGCATGGAAGCTTTCATTAAACTTCGTACTCTTCTTTCGTCTGCTCCTATCATGAAACCGCCCAATTGGTCTCTCCCTTTTGAGATCATGTGTGATGTATCCGATTATGCATTGGGTGCGGTTTTGGGCAGCATGTGGACAAGCTTCCGCATGCTATCTATTATGCGAGCAAGACTCTTTCTGATACTCAGTTAAATTACACCACCACTGAAAAAGAATTGCTAGCTGTGGTGTATGCCTTGGACAAATTTTGCTCCTATCTTCTTAGTTCCAAGGTCATAGTCTTCTCGGATCATGCCGCTCTTCGGCACTTGTTAGCGAAAAAAGAGACCAAACCTCGCCTAATTCGATGGATACTCTTACTTCAAGAGTTCGACATCGAAATCCAGGACAAAAAAGGGACTGACAATGTTGTCACCGATCATCTCTCTCGCTAACTCATTGAAAAATCGTCGGAATGCGCTGTCGTCCGTGATTCCTTTCCGGATGAGCAACTTTTCCAGACTTCCCATTCAAGTCTCCCTTGGTTTGCAGATATTGTCAACTACCTTGTGGTAGGCAAAATTCCCTCCGATTAGTCCAAGCATGAAAGAGACCGTTTCTTCTCCCAAGTTAAGCATTTCTTTTGGGAAGATCCGTAACTATTCAAGTATTGCCCGGACCAAATCATCCGGCAATGCATTCCCGAAACTGAGACCACTAGCATTCTAAATTTCTGTCATACTCTTGCTTGTAGAGGCCATTTTAGTGCCAAAAAGACAGCCGACAAAGTCCTTCAAAGTGGATTTTATTGGCCATCCTTGTTTCGGGATGCTTACAACTTCTGCAAATCTTGTGAGCGTTGCCAAAAGCTCGGATCCATGTCTAGGAGAGACATGATGCCCCTCACTCCCGTCCTAATTATTGAAATTTTTGATGTATGTGGGATCGACTTCATGGGACCATTTCCATCTTCTTATGGCTATGAGTATATCCTTGTAGCAGTGGATTATGTTTCCAAATGGGTTGAAGCCGAGGCTACCAGAACCGCTGATCATAAAGTTGTGATCCAATTCATTTAATCCAACATCTTTAGTCATTTTGGTACGCCCCGAGCAATCATCAGTGACGGTGGATCTCATTTCCAAAATCGTTACCTTAAATCCGTCCTTTCTAAGTATTCCGTAATTCATAAGGTTGCTACACCTTACCATCCTCAAACGAGTGGTCAAGTAGAGGTTTCTTACCGGGAGATTAAGCACATTTTGGAAAAAACGATTCGACCGGACCGCAATGATTGGTCATTAAGACTAAACGATGCACTATGGGCTTACCGGACAGCTTACAAGACACCCATTGGCCTGTCGCCATATCGACTTGTCTTTGGCAAAGCATGTCACCTCCCGGTAGAATTGGAGCACCGTGCTTTTTGGGCCATAAAAAGGCTCAATTTTGATCTCCAACAGGCCGGCTCTAATCGTGCTTTGCAGTTAAATGAACTTGAGGAAATGCGTAATGATGCGTATGAAAGTGCAAAAATCTATAAGGCAAAGACTAAAGCTTTCATGACAAACACATTGTCAACAAGTCTTTTGCCCCGGGACAAAAGGTTTGGCTTTTCAATTCCCGCCTGAAGCACTTTCCTGGTAAACTCCGGTCAAGATGGGATGGTCCATACACTGTCACTACTGTCTTTCCTCATGGATCAATCAAACTCCAAGATCCTGCAAATGGATCGCTCTTCAAGGTTAATGGCCAATGGCTTAAGCCTTGCATTGACGGCATAATCCCAACCCAAAAAGTTGAGAAAGTCGTGAATATGAAAATAAAAATAAAAATAAAAAATAAAAATCCCGCCCTCACTTAACAGGGAAAAAGCCTCTCGTAGATAAATATTTTTAAGGGAGTATTTTCCTCCCGTGAATATGAAAATAAAAATAAAAAATAAAAATCCCACCCTCACTTAATGGGGAAAAAGCCACTCGTAGATAAATATTTTTATGGGAGTGTTTTCCTCCCGTGAATATGAAAATAAAAACCCCGCCCTCACTTAACTGGGAAAAAGCCACTCGTAGATAAATATTTTTAAGGGAGTGTTTTCCTCCCGTGAATATGAAAAAAAAAATAAAAAATAAAATCCCGCCCTCACTTACGAAGGAAAAAGCCACTCGTAGAAATTTATAATTTGAAGGGAGTATTTTCCTCCCGTGAATATGAAAATAAAAATAAAAAATAAAAATCCCGCCCACACTTTTCGTCTCCCGCGCGCAAAGAAGAGCAACCTGCCAAAAGCCTTTTTTTTTTTTTTCACGTCACCAACACATAGACCACAAAAAGCCCTAATCTTCTTTCTTTCCCAGCCAGTCTCTCAAAATGCCCTAATCTTCTTTCTTCCATTATTTCTGTTGAGGAGGCCGGATCCCACCTTGTTGCTTACTATGCCGACAACACCCAGCCAGTCTCTCCCCTGCTAAGGCTGCTATCCATCTCTCTCACACACACTTGGCCAAGAATCAAGTTCACTTCAAAGCTTGCAACAAACAGTATTGTGACATTCCTCTTCAACAATGAAGCTGTAAGAGTAAACCCTTTTCTACTTTGTTTCTCTCACCTCGTTAAATTTTTTATCTCTTTTCTGGGTTTCTGAACATTAAAGCATGTAGTTTTCTTTTTGTATACTCTATTTTATTTCTCGTTCTTTGATTTTGGAAAATCTTCTACAAATTCGACGTTCTAAGTATATATCTGATTTTGGTTAAAAAAAATTTCAATAAATTAATTAGGGAAGATTTTTGTTCACCCAACCGGATCATTTACCCCATCTCTGCTTGAAGTTCTATCTCAAATCTCTGCCTCGCTTGAAGTTCTCTCTCCTATCTATCTCCATCTCCGCTTGAAGTTCTGGTCCGACAAGGAAAGGAAAGTTGGGCGATCTCAACCAATTTTTACCTTGACCAACATAGAGCTATTTGTTCAACGCTCTCTTTACTCTCTAGAACCGAGGATCCAGACTTACCTTCATTCTTCAGGTAATCTGCAATCCCTCTTTCTCAAACATTTTAAGGGTTTTCTTCAATCCCTATTTCTTAAACAATTTTTAGGGCTAACACATGCATATTTTTTTCTCTAGTTTATTATCGATTTTATTTGCTGGATTTGCTTTGGTTGTGACTAGATTTGGGTTTTTTTGTTTTCCATTTCATTATTGATTGGGTTTTTTTTTTTTTTTTTTTTTTGTTTTATGGATGTCTTAAATAGTAAATTTTATAACAAAACTAATAGAACCAAATTTATTTGAAAAATTATTCCAACAACCTTAAAAGTGAGTTGCAGCATAGCATTGCAAAATAAGACACTCAGCATGTGCTGTAAGAGTTTGTATGAAAATCTACAATTTCAAAAGTTTTAACATGATGATACCATTAGTCTTGATTCTTTTGGCTAATAACTTGTACGATTTTTCTCACAAATGTATCACTTAAGATTGTTTTTTAGATGAGTTTCTTTTTTTTATTGTACATCTAAGAATACATGAAAAACAAGTGAATTTTAAAAATAATGGGCTTACAGAAAATCGATGAGTGTACTTTTGATGTTCCGTTATGTATGTTTTTTGCTAGATGACAATTTTTATTTTTCAATTGACAAATTAAAGTGGGTACAAGTGATGAAATAGAGGTTTGGATTGAATTTTTGAAATCAAGATGTTTAATAAGTAGGATTAAAATTGAACATAAGGAATTCAGTTTTAGCAAAAATTAGATATCCTTGGAATAATTTGATATAGATTAAGGGTCAAAAGATATCGAATCGTGGATACTTAGTTCAAACCTTTCTTTGATCAATTGAACATTTCTTCAATTGGCCGGGTAGCCACTGTTTACACTTTACAATCAAAACATGCCAAAACTACTTACAAATAATTCTATCATATTGTGTGGTCAACTACGTCTTATGTTGGTCCACTAAACTACCTATTAGCCATTCTGATACTTTGTTCTCTAAGTCACTTACCTGTACCTAGTGTGAATGACTAATTCATTAAAACAAAATTCAGTTTTAAAACATAATTCAACTACATCTTGTTTTGGTCCACTAAACTACCTATTAGCCATTCCGATACTTTCTTCTCTAAGTCACTTACGTGTACCTAGTGTGAATGACTAATTCATTAAAGAATCAGCTGATGAATCACTCTGAAAGTCCCATCTCCAATTTTACGCACGTCACTCTGATCTCAAGCAATAAGATTAGCAACTCTTTAAAACATAATTTTACCAGTCTTGTTTATATAATTCACAAATTTTAGTTTATGGAACATGCCAACAGTTGCTACCATGCCTTGACGAACATATATATTAAAAAGAAAAGGGTAAATTCTATAAAATGATCACAAAATGAAAATGCGAATATTGAGATGTGGACACGCGGCAAGATCAGAAATGTTGAAATCAGAAAAGATTATTTATGAAACGTTTAAAGTAGTAACAGCTAAGAGTGAAGACAAATGAGAAAAATCGAGTAAAATGGTTTAGACATGTGTAATGAGATGAGATCAAGAACTGCAAAAGGGAGGAAGATTTATGTGATCTTGCATTGTTGGTAAGGATAGGGGAAAGGAAATATCAAAATTAACATAGGTTCGGATAAAAAAAAATGATATGATTACTTGTGATTAGGTAGAGTATAATGGAAAATTATAACTCATGTAGCTGATCTTCAATAGTTCGGACAAGGCTTGTTCAGCTCAGCTGTATCAGAACTGTATTTGATATTCTATGTAGCAAGTATTAATGTTTATGTGTTTGTCCAAACCTTTGGTTGTTTTTTATTTCCTCTTTTTGTTGTTTTAAATTTTGTGATACATTTCTTTCCTCATAAGAGGTTGTTGCTTGGTGCACTGGTGAAAGCTGATGCCTCAGTTACTGTTCACAGCCTCAAACAGTGCATGAAATCCTAGTCAACTCCTACCTATTGGCCTTAGTTTAACAATAAAAATAACAAAATATTTGCTGCCCATAGATTCCATTCCTGTGCACTTTTTTTGTACTTCCTGCACCCTATTGGTCCCTAAGTGGAGCCAATTCCAATCCATTGTTGTCTACAAACCCCTAAAACCTTTCTTTATTTTATTGAACTCAAAATATCCACGCATTTCTTAGTCGAAGCACAACATAAAACCATTATTTTTTATTTCCCAGTGCTGTCCTGTATCAAGACAATTATTTATAAGCAAATTAGTTGATTCATAAGATCTAACATTCTTTGCTGAGAAAAGAACTTACGACAGATATTCTGTGAAAATTAATTATTGACAACTATGCAGTGCATCACACTTCTAACTTTGTATAGCATTATTGGTGATTCAGAGAAGTTAATAAAAGTGTTGTTTGAGCTTGCGAGGCATCACACACCGTCAACTATATTTCTTAATGAAATTGATGCAATCATTAGTCAGCGTGGTGAAGGACGCAGTGGGCATAAAGCAAGTAGGCGATTGAAAAATGAGCTACTCATACAGGCGACATCTGTTTTTTAGAATTGCAATAATAATATATAAAAAGCATGCTTATGTAGAACTAAAATACAAAACATATAAAAACAAAGCACTAAAAACATCAATGAGTGCAACACTGAACTGGAAATTACCTTAACTAGATATCACACGTTATATCTTTTAAGATCCTGTGTAGAGGATCTTTTTTTTCTATTTTGTTGCTATTGTTAGAGCAAAGGCCTTATAGCATGAAATGAGTGACACCGTGGACTCAGTTGTAGATAATTCCATTTTATGTAATCCATAGAAGTAAATCCTCTCCACAGCATTCATCTGATCTACACAATTCCATCAAAAGCAATATCACGGGAATACTATTTTTTTATTAGTTATCCCCATCTGAATAATAGCAATTACAGAAATGTTGTGCGCTCTAGGTACTCCTATGTTAGTATTTTTTGGACATTGAAAACACACTTGTATGAGTCTGAATAACAGCAATTACAGATATGTTGTGTGCTCTAGGTACTCCTATGTTAGCTTTTTTTGGACATTGAAAACACACTTGTATGAGTGTGTTGGAACCAACTATCATTATCCTCACATTTTGAGGTCATTGTTCAACACTGACACCTATGTTAATTTATATTTCACATCATATGTGTGGCTCATGCTTATGGACATTCCTTGCCATGGTATCCAGTACTTCTAAAAAGATTTTGCTATTGATGTCTCTACAATAAATCTACATTTGGTGCACAAGTAAATCACTTAAAAATTCATATATGATTTCATCTCTACTTTCACAAAAATTAATGGCTAGAGTTAGACTGCAGATGGATGGTTTGACGCGGACAAATGAGCTTGTTTTTGTTTTGGCGGCAACAAATCTTCCTTGGGAACTAGATGCTGCTATGCTCCGACGTCTTGAGAAGTGGGTATCCTTTTGAGAGGCTAATTTATACTTCCTTTCTGCATTGAGAAGTTCTATAGTTTAAATGTTAATTGACAAGTTTATTTGTTTTATAATAAGCTTACTATCTGTGGGACAAGTCCTAATTATATTGATACAAATCATATTCTTACATGATGTGAGTGACTTCTTTGCTACCGTGTCATATGGTTGCTCATGCAATTCAAATAAAAAGTCATGAAAAATCTATAAACACAAGTTATTGGCATGCAAAAGTGGGAGTTGATTGACTGCTTGAGAAATTTCATTGTTGAAATACTTATCTTCTCTAAATTACCTTAATTTTTTTATAAAAAAAAAGTGCTATTTTTTTTTTTATTTTCTCAAAAAAAGAAAAATAAAAAAGTGGTTATTGTTATGCACAAAGTGGAAGTTAACTGACTGCTTGATAAATTTCGTTGTTAAATTACCTATATTTCAAACAACTTATCTTTTTATTTTTATTTCAAAGGAACAGGATAATTAGAATGCTGATCTGCTCTAAGTTAACTGATTGTTTGATAAAGGAACAGGGTTCTCGCGAAAGTTTAAGCTGGAGTCCCGAAAGAGGGTAGCTATATCAGGAGACAACATAGTCTTAAATGTTATAAATAATGACAGTAATGGCATGGCACATCTTCCTGCTATGAATAGAAAATCCAGTCTTTAATAGAACATGTCCATATTAAATGTATTTTTGTAATTTACTTTTATATATTATTTCTTTGTGTTTTTTCCTCTAAGAGTAGTTGATAGGCTATTTTGTCTGGACATGTGTGTTTTTTTTTTTTTTTGGTTGACGGGGAGCGTTCAGGAAGCAAGGGAGAAAGACCAATCCTTTTGCCTAGTTAAAGAGACTGCTGTTGTGAAGTGGCATTAGTGCTTACATACTTGGTGGGTCACTGTTGACTGCTGAGGTCTAAATCTTAAGATTTGAAATTGAGTAAGAAGGGGGAGGGTGGAATCATTGTTTTTAAAGAATTTCTGGAACTGGTTTGGTTAATTTAAACTTTAAAGGATTGTCCTTTGTATTGAGCAAACCAATCTGGAATTTTTTATCTTCGTGATGCTCGCACAAGCATGGTTTTATGGCCTACCAAATATGTGAAAGTTCTAGAGGTCAATTGGTCATTCATTAACCTTTTTCTTTTCTTTTTTGAAAAGTAGTAATTAACATATGATCTGATTTTATTTTCTTTTATTTTTTATATATGTTGGCATTACATTTTTAATTTTTTTCCTCACAGGATCTATTTTAACCAGCTTATTAGGAGTATAACAAAACCATTACTTTTGAAGTAAGATTAGGAGCATAGTTCTGGTTCTCAATCTTCATCTCTGGCAGGTATGTTCTGAATTCTACTAGCTAATGAAGTTCATTTATCAATTATCTCTGTGTGAAGTCATGGGTCCTTGTCGTGGCCATTACTTTATTACATTGATATAACATGGGAGTATGGGAACATCGTATGTGGAGGTTGTGGTTGATTGTTATTTATTGTTGATTGTTGTGAAGTTGTTGTTGGTTGTTATTGTGTACGTGAAGTAGAAAGTTTCTTAGCATTCCTCTCATTCCAATTTTGATCATCACATCACTCCAATGGAATACCACAATGTGAATCTTGGTTATCTAGGCCCCAATATGATCCAACAACCTCCTCTAGGTCAAATTCCTCCCGGAGTTTAAGCTCCAAAGCTTAGAGGACTTGTGTTTCTTGTACATATGCTCCACTGAGATGAATAGAAAATTACTGCCCCCACATGGTTTAATAACAAAAAAATGAAAAAAAAAAAAAAAAAAAAAGTAACAAAAACATTTGATTTAAAAATAACAAAAAATCAAACTTTTCCTCCAAATTTGTTAGTTTCTCCATCAGTTGCACATTTCTTTCCTCAGCAATTTCCACCCTTTTCCTTGAAGCCTCTTCATAAGATGAGGATGCACGTTGACGGCTTTGAACTACAAAACCATTTTCGAGCCCACGGAGATATCCCTTCCTAATACTTAGTTGGTTTTTGCACTATCTCAACATCATTTATGATTGAACTGATACCATCAGAATTTTGGGAAACTTGTGCAGCCTTTTTTTTTATTTCATCCTGCAATTAAGTTGTTTCGCAGCATTATTGACATTTCCAAAGACATAATTAAAATTTAGAAGTTTAACAAACTCCTTTAAGTTTTTTGGAGTATCTATCACATTCATAGCATCATGCTATCAAAAAACCATCTATGCATCTTAAGCTATTATCTTTGCAAAACATATCAGGAAAAAACCAATTTGATATCATGTAAACAGAAGTGTGTGTTTTTTGTATTCATCTATGAAAACAAAATATCATGTAAACAATCACAAAAGTAAATGCCCAATTCATATACTGCTAGATGAAATTTAAATTGCATTGGATAGACAAGGAAGTTAGGGAACCTAAAAGAATTGACAAGCTAGGCAGAGGCCACGTCATCTCTATATTAAAATTTCTCAAACTTAAATATGGGATAACTATATTTATTAACAAAAATGAGTCATGTTTGTTTTCAATTGAGCTAAACAAAGAAATCAAACTGAAGATGAAAAATGAAAATAGTGATTATTTGTTTTGTGTTCTTTCCTTTTCTATCTAAAACTCCGAAACAAAGGGAGGATTATGGCCTTCTCTTCCTTTCTTTTGATAGGATAACCCCTATCCCTTCCCTTTCTTTTTCAAATAAATCCATAGATTTTTATAATGAATTCTAATGAATTAAAGAAGATTTTAGACATAGAAATCTAGAACAGTACTTAATTTCTATCTCTGGTGCAGTAGATAGCAACTACTTTAGCCCCATTTCAAGTTTTTCAGCAGATGCCCCATTTATTACAAAGGTTGATTTTAGGCTTCATAGTATAATAAAAGTTAATGAAGTATATAATTCTCCTTATATAGAGGGGTTATCCTATCTTCTACAATAATAAAGGCAAGAGTCTCTTGTAAGTACAAACAAAAGACAACACAAAGAAAACCTTGACAAGAAAATATGTAAGAAAGCTAAAAATTAATGGATAATTTAACCTCTCCTCCATAATAAAATTATGTTTAGTCCTAAGTCCCAACAAATTTAGTACAAGTAAACTCCAAAATGGTATTAAAGGATTGACAACTAACATTAGCAATTCTACTACAGATTCTCGTGAGAAATTTATTTCAATCTCTAATAATAATTAATTAATAAATAAATAAATCAATAAAATAAATGTTCTCTCCTTCTATAGTACTAGAACACTGGGTTGACCAGTTAGCATGCTTAAAAGATATGCTAGCAATAAAAGTCAAAGTACCAACAAGTCAGAAATGAGCTATGTTAATAAGAAAATTTTCTAAAGAAGATTTAAGTTAAATTTTCAAAAACAACTTAACGAACCCATTTTGAAGAAGATTCAAGTAAAAAATTTTAAAAGTCAAACCCAATAAAACAAGAAGTGGTAAGCAGATTTCCAACCCCCCTTCCACTTCCCCACCACCAGTTCTGAATTTCCATCTCTGGTGCAGCAGATAGAAACTTCTTCAGCCTGCGTCTTTGTACATGTCTGGTAGCTCTGGCTGGCACACTTTATCTTTCGTCGACCAGTTCTATATTTTTTTCCTTTTCGATTAAGACACTGTTGGTATTTTCTTTCCCTTTCGATTAAGAAACTAACTTAAAAACAAACGTATAGAATGATCTCATATCAACCCCCCAATGCAAAGCAATGGTCTCAATTTTGGATCGCCATGCTCCCTCAAAGGAACTAGAAACTGCTCCACAACTTCACAGTTCTGTAGAGCAAGCCCTCTTGATGGGCAAATTATCAACCCAAATGGCCCTTCCCAATAGATTCAGTAGGACCAACTTTAAGATGTCGAACCCAATTTAGTATCGTATGAATGATCGATCTGAAAAAGAATTGAAGGTAATATTACCAAACCCATCCTATATATATGTAATGACGCAAATCCACACAGTAATTTTAGTGTGGATACATATGTGTGTGCAATCTCTCTCTAATTGTATGAGGACAAAACTAGTTTCAATGCTATATTTTCACATAAATTTCTCACCTCCGATCAAATTTTCTCTTCAACTAAACAAGTCAACATAAACAGATCAAAAGACGAAAACAATCACTAAAATCACAGCTAAATGAATTGAAGCTAGTGTAGCAAAAATTCTTCCATGTATGCAATGATGTTCACATAGAAATTCCAGTGTGTATATATATATGTGTGTTTGTGAAATCTCTCTCTATTTTCACTTGTTGATATGATTCTAATATTTTCTCCAATATGTTTTTCTTGTAGTATATTATATTGAAGCTAATGAGTTCTCTAATATGTCCTCTTGAACTAATTATTAGCATAAGCTTAGCTTTGTTGTTGTTTTACAACTATTAACTATATTTTTTCCATGTTAAAGTTGCTATTTTTTCTTTGATGTCAAACTATCAATGTGCCTTAGATTTAAAAGAGCATAACAGTTATGTTTCTTACATTCTATGTCTAAACCTTTATTGGCAATTGACATTCCTGGTAATCAAGTTTTAGACGCAGAACTTGCACTTGCGGGGTGTTTGCCCTTTTTTGACCTTTTTGTTCTATTTGGAATTGGACGATTGCATGACGGAGTTGAATCCCGGCAAAGCATGGGCATGTGGATTGCATATTTCTTTTTGGGGGTTTTTGATTGTTTTTGGCTTCTCAAAGCGTGGGACTCCATTTTTTATCACACTTTGTTATATATTTTAGAGAGTATGAAATAGAAAACTAGCATTTTGTCATTACTCCATATACATTATTATTATACTAAAATTAAGACTTGTGTAATATAGGTACTTGCTTGGATTTTGTACAATGGATAACGAAGTGGAGGAAGTGTGAAAAATTGAAAGTCAACTTGCGCCAGGAATTAATGAACAATGTGAAGATTGATATCTATTTTTGGAAAATATTAAATTTTCTTTTTAATTTTGGCACGTTGAACAATTAATGATGAATTGTAAATTAATGTCTTACTTTTTTGATATATATTTAATAGTGAATTTAAACATGAATTGTTTTTGGTATTGGTATTAAGTGTAAATTTTTAGCATTTTATATAATTGTTTGTGACCAGGTTATATATGTGAATGATTGGGTAATAAAGTGCATTAATTTATTTGATATATCTATATATATATATATAGCTATCTACAGGTGGCTTTAGACCTCGTAAATAAAATATATAGATGTATTGACAAGAGGCCAAATGTGTCGTACATTAATTACTAACGAGAGGCCATATACCACATTAATTAATTATTAACGAGAGGTCATGTACCACATTAATTAATTATTAACGAGTGGATAAAGAACTCGTTAATAAGTATTAACGAAATGTCATTGATCTTGTAAATTAATTATTAACAAGAGGCTATAAGTATTGTAAATTAATTATTAACGAAAGGCTAGAAATCTCGTGAGAGTTTTATTTACGGGACGCTAGAATTATCGTGCTCTAATCTTTTATCAGAGTTATTATTTCCCATAGCAAGTGGAGAGTATTTACAGGACCAAAATACACGAAGGCTCAAAAGTCCTGTGAAAAATTTTTCACGAGAGGTCCACACACTCGTAAAAGACCTTTTTTCGCATAAATTAATTATTAACGAGAGGCTAGTAGTTTCGTAAATTAATTGTTAACGAAATGCTAGAAATCTCATGAGAGTTTTATTTACGAGAAGCTAGAATCATCGTGCTTGAATCTTCTACAAGTGTTATTATTTCTCGCAGCAAGTGGGGAGTATTTACAGAACCATAATAGACGAGGGGCTCAGAAGTCTCGTGAAAAGGTTTTCACGGTAGGTCCAGACACTCGTAAATGACCTATTTTCTTGTAGTAATGACCTTGTTGTGGAGTTTTATGATTTGACCATGAGTAATAAAGAGGGCATTCCTTCAGCACAATGTTTAAACACTTGTGTTGATATGGTTTAATAAGGTATTAATGATTTTATAACTCAATTTATTATTAATATTTTAGCAAATAAATTGTAATACTGATATAACTTGTGCTTTTTTTTTTCCAGCTCTCTATTTGGTGAAACTTTTTTTGGTGCTACTACTATTTTGGAAGTTATCTTTTGATCATGCCTTCTTAATTGAAGCTAGTGAATATCCTTTTTGGTGGTTTTGATTAACAAAGAGCATATGCTTGGAGGTGACCCTTTTGTTAGTAATCTGCATATGACAAAGAGCAATATGATTCTACTGAACCACTCTCTGTTTTGGAGGTTGACATGACTGTATTTTACTACTGCTACTACTATGAAAGGTAACACACTAAAAGCCCTATAAAAACACTTCTTTGTTGTTTTTACTCTGACGAATCTGCATAAAACCTTCTATCATGTCTGCTAAATGCTCTTTATTTATTGCCAATTATTGTCTCATGTTCTTGCTGCTCCTCACAGTTAGACTTTACTATATCTATACTATAGAGATTAGCATAATTAAATTTTTTTCATTCTTATTTTTGCAGTATTCTGATCTGATAGAGCCCATTGAGAGAAGAATGCAAAATGTTGCAGATTATATAAAGGTAGTGAAGCAAAGAAACAATGTTTTTTGTTCTGTTCAATTTGTGTCAAGTGTAAAGCATTATTGAAAACTTTAAAGGAAACTGGTTTCTGCACCAGATCAGCAGTGACTACAGCTGCATAGACTATCAATTGTAGTTGAGATGGTGGATTTGAAGCGGTTCGTGTGTCCCTTAATATCCTTTTGACGTGTCTCAATTTTCAGCTCTTTTGTGATCTGCCATATGCCCAAACTTGAGGTGTCCATTTTTAGAAAGGAAGATGGATACAAATATATCCATATTTTATCATGCCAACAGCAAAATGAGCTGAAATCTGCTGCAAGTTGAACCTATTACATACCCTTACGGTCCTTCAATCATTCATGAGAATTTGGAGGCTATTATTGTCAAGTCCTTTACTTTATTAAGAATTTTATTCAGTCTCCTTTCCTGTCTTTATTTTTGTCTGTCTGTATTGGAGCCTGGGGGTATCCATATGCATGTTTGTAGAGATTGCAGACTCTCGAGTTTGATTATATGGTTAAGAGCTTTGATTCATCATGGCAATTTGTTACTATTGAAGATTTTTCCTTCATGGTCCTGAATATCTGTGTTATCAGTGAAAATTAGCTAATTGAATTTGTTTGTCCATCAGCAAGGAGACATTACCCGGTGGACTGTCTGTCAATAAGAAGAGAGCTGAGAGAAGCCTGTCACAACTAAAGGTTCGAGTTATGGTTTTGTATATATTTTCCCAACTGCATGAAATTCTCAGTGCGGTTTGTGGAACTAAATTGCTTGTAAATTCTTGAGAATGTTGTAAAATATAAAGCTGCAATATCGAGGATACTCTTCCGGGAATCTATTAGTCAATTGTGGGAATATATTTATATATAAGCCAATTTATCTTGGAAAATACTCTTTTAAGTCTTAGTTATGTCATCCAACATATATATGGTTTTTTTTTTACTTGAAGTTTTATTAGTTTAACATTTTATATAGATTAGAGGTAAAAAGACTGGAACTACATACTACAGTGGGGGTGAAAGCTTTTGACAAGCTTGGAGATGGAATGTCATGATCTTTGTTTGGTGACAGGCTCGGAGAATGAAATAGCCTTCTTCATTGAAGCCAATGAATGGTATGTTTAATACTTTGCTCATGTGCTCATATGGTTTTGTTTTTTGTTTTTACTTGATTTTTATTAGTTTTATCTTTTTATATAGATTAGAGGTAAAAAGACTGGGAACTACATACTACAGTGGAGGTGAAAGCTTTTGACAAGCTTGGAGATGGAATGTCATGATCTTTGTTTGGTGACAGGCTCGAAGAATGAAATAACCAATGACAAGCTTCCAGTTCCAGAGCATGACCACTTTTCTTTTTTCTTGAATGAATGGGACTTTGTGGATTTTATTTATATATATATGTTAGATGATTTGTTGAAACAATTTGGGTTGAAAAGATATGTAACTGATATTATATTGTTTTTATTTATTTTGATGTCTTAGATAAACATAAATGGGTTGAAATGCTAAAAAAAAAAAAAAAAACTTAACCTGATTTATTTGATAAATGGGTTAAATGGGTCGTGTCGTGTTGAACTCAACATGACATGACCCAATTATTACATGGGTCGTGTCGTGTTGAACCCAATATAACACGACCCAATTATTAAACGGGTTACATGGGTCGTGTCGTGTTACCCGTTTAATAATTGGGTCGTGTTCGTGTTTATCCAACTCGACACGAAAATTAAATGGGTCGTGTTCGTGTCGACCTATTTGTTATAATACCCATGTCTTGACACGACACAAACATGACCCATGAACACGAATTGCCACCTCTAGTTGAATCCATACAAACCATGTCCTAGAATTCAAGTCTAGATAGCATATGACATGTCAAGCCTCCAATATGCAATTTATATACCAAAACAAGAATATTTTAGAGCAATTGAGCCACATTACCACATTAAGCCACAAGTACTACATAAGTTCCAATTTAGTAACTAGCTTCTAAGGTAAACAATTGTAATATTCTAACAAACTATATACCTACACAAGATATATCTAAAAAAGCTATGCAAGTCAATGATATTCTATATCATGCTAAGTCCAATTATCATTTCAAGATGCCTCAAGTACTAATTCTACTTCAAATTAGTAATATGCTCACAAGGTGATTAAACGGACTACATTTCAAGGAATTATCAACCTATTACCTCTAAAATCAAATTAAGTGACCAACATACTTAAAATAAAATTAATTAAGCTCATAAACTAATTTTTCTCTAGATTTTCAATCAACTCCAATTGTCCTCAATTTAACATAAGTTAAAGAACTCACCAAGGCCTACTTTAATATCACATTACAAGTTGATTTCATGCTTGTTTCAACTATGTGAATTAAACTTTTATAAAAGATAAATATTAAATAAGTTTTGCAATTCTTATTCAAATACTCCAAATTTAATATATGTTATTCGATATATCAAGGCTTAATTTCCTAGCATGCCACAATTCAATTCTAAGGTGCATACCTTCATGAGAATTAAATCTTAAACATAGAAAATAATTAAATTAAATTCTAAAACTTAAACAAAGGCATGCTTACAAATTATATATGCTCATATAACAATCAATACAATATTAATATAAACCTAAGACATCCCCTACCTCAATTTGAGATGAAATCTCAAATCCCCACCAAAATGAAACCGCTCATTATTCGACGATACTTCGGGGTTTTACCGGGGACAACGCCGTGAACATGAATCCCAAGGAAGCCCCATCAAAATCACAACTTGACTTTAAACCCAAACTCAAAAAATGGCCAAAACGAAATTCCAATCGGTTGGAATTGAAGGCCTCGCCAAGGGGAACAATAAACACTAAGGCTTCACCACTTTTCATCCAAGGGAGGAGGTTCAAAAGAGGAGAGAGAAGGTGGCAGCCATGGGAGGAGCTAGGGCCGGCCAAGAGAGGGGAGAGAGATAGAAAAATCTGATTTTTCATTTTAAGACCCCCTATTTATAGAAAAACTCAAAAAGTGTCCCGAACAGGCCCCGCCGGGTCCGGAAAAGTGGAATTTGAGCAAACGTGCTCAAACAGCAAAACTCTGTGAATAAAAAAGAATCGAAATGAAAAAAAATGAATAATGGAAGAAATGACGTCAAAAACTGAGTTCCATGCAGAGAGATATGCCCTAAATAAGTTTGGCGCTAACCAAGGCCGAAAACTCGAAAACTGCAGGGTTCGACCGCAAGACAATTCTAAGAGTACACCACTCGACAAAATGTGAAAATGAATCCCGTACGAGGATTCAGGCTCAAAACAAGGCATTTTTGCAATAACTTTCATTAATTGCACAATGGCCCCTCCAAAAAGTGAAAACTGCATTAATGACGCAGAATGAAAATATCTTCCAAAAATATTTTCTTAAAAACCCTTGAAATAAAATATCTCCAAAAGATATTTAAAAAAAACACCCTAAGAAACAAAAATG